ATTTCCACCTTGTCTGATGTTTCAGAAAAAAGTGGGCGGAGAGATAAAGTTACACTTTGCAGAGCTCAGTATGAAGCGTTCTGAGAGAGCTGATTGAAGGAACAGACTCCCCCCCCCTCCACACAGCTTGCAGGAACTGAGCTGGGGCTGTCAAACGGCTGGAGGTCCCTCCCCTATCACCTTTTTTTTCTCTTGGTGTCAGGAAAACTTGTCATAAATGATTCCTGCTGATAGAGGCCACAAAGCAGCAGACAAAAATGACACTTGGTGCTCTGGATTGAAGCAAGTACACACTATATAGGGATATACTTTGTTCATATTTCATGTCTAAGGTTTACAACCACTTTAAGCTCTGAGGCCATCACTCTTATTCTGGCTTCCCTACTATGTGATTCACTGACCGGGAACAAATATGCAGGACAGGAGTTCACACTCCAGATTTCACTGGCTGGTTCAGTGATTTACTAAGGCAGGCCATAGATGATGCAACACACAGGTTGCAGAGAAAAAAATCGCTTGATTCCCCCATCCTCAGTGGAAATTCAGCACTCCTCAGTGTTGGAGGAATCCCTCCCATTGAGCTATACTGCCGGGAGAACACCATGTTTCTTGTTAGTGGCTGTCTGACATGACGGTTGTACCCAGGTCGTACACGGGTGTATGTACCACAAGGCAAACAAGGCATTTGCCTAGGGTGGCATTTTTCAGGGGGCAGCACTGCCCCTCAGAAAAAGGGAAGGAAGAAGGGACACACGCAGCATGGGGACCAGGTGGGATCCGAGAGAGGCTGTGGGCCACTTGACGGTGTATGCACAGCCCAACTCTCTTTCCTGGGGAGCTGTGAAGGTAATTGTTTTCTCTCTCTTGACGGGGGGGCGGGCTTAGTGGAAAGCTCTCTCAGGTGGGGGGGCAGGGGTGTTGGTCAATGGCAGGCTCTCTCCACAGGGGGTTGGTGGTGTTTATTGGTGCCAGGCTCTTTCTGGGGAAGGGGGGGGGGGGATGTTGACTGACCAATTTTGGTGTTGCCTAGGGCAGCACAAAACTTAAATACACCACTGGTCATACAACAATCAAATTGGATACAATCAGCCTGCCCATAGATGGTTCAGATCTCAGCTGGTCCCTTCTGGACCAACCACGATTGGAACCATCTATGGCCAGGGGCGGACTGACCATTTGGGAAATCGGGCACTGCCTGAGGGCGCGGGGTCAGTAGGGGGCCCCATGAGATGCCCCTGGTACCTTTCATAGTCTTTTTTGGGTGTGGTTTGAGTGTGGGTGAGGACACGGGCCCCATGATCCCCTATTGCCCGGGGGCCCCATGAGTTGTCAGTCCACCCCTGTCTATGGCCGTCTTAAGTGGTGCAGTAGGAATAAATATGACGGAAGAGGTCAGTGTATAATTCTGTCCTCAGGAGTTCCTTTTAAAGCCATTATCTCCCAATTAGAAAGATTCACACGTTGGCCGGTTCAGCTCTGAGCACACAATGGGTTCGGTTACTCATTTGCACATTGTTTTCTCATAAATTGTCAGAATTTCCACTTCCTGGAAATTTTCCTGAACTTCCACCCTGATGGTGCCATGTTTGCAGGTCAGAGTGTTAGAGGAAGTTCAGAGAAAGTACCTCTAGAAATCAATAGACATTCTTCTATCCGTTCTCTTCCCATTGTATTATGTAACTGCTTATTTCCTCGTTTATTAAAGGAAAAGTAAAGATGTCATTACAAAGGAAAGATGTCATTACAAAGCATTGTGTTGAAAGAACTCATTGGACTTGTAAACCTTAGAGCCTTGGTGCCCAACCTACGGTGGCCCCTGGACACTTACTTTGCAGCCCTCGGGGCCCTTGCAGGCAGTAGTCTGTTTTGGCATGCAAGCCAGTGATTCCATTTAATTATTTTAGACATCTTTTTTTTTTTTTGTGCACCCCATCCCGATAGGGCTGTGTTATATGGGTGGCCAGGAGACAGTAACAACAGGTTTTACTGGCCACCCATGTGAATTCTGACATTACAGCCGAACAGAACTGTACACATGCTGAGGCTGTAATTCTTCGCTTCATGGCTGCAGAATATGACGGGGGGCACCGCTTGTCAGACTTTCCCATTGAGGTCAATGTGACTACACCACAACTGTGATCCAATCATATGGCTGGTAATTGCGGCACCTATAGCATGTTCATTCTTAAAAATCTCTCCTATCATTCCTATACTGTAGTCTCATCTCCTGCTGCCGTCTCTGAAATTTTTTTTTTTAGCATTACATTCACTGAATATTATGTGTAGTTATTGATATTGTTGGGGGCCACACTGTCTCCTAGAACTAATACGTTGACCACTAGTGCCCTAGAGCAGTGATGGCGAACCTATGGCACGCAGAGCCAGCTCAGTGGGCACGCCAGGAAGAAGAGGATGATGAGCGCACACGAACCGGCCATCCAGATCTCGTCCACACTGGACACCCATCAAACTACATTTCCCACATGTCTCTGGGGCCAGGGTGGGCGTGGACGAGAGGAAACGGCTCCAATGCGGCTCTGGCACCAGGGGTGATGTACCCGGGGATGGGCGCAGAAGAAAGGAAGAGGCTCCCACACTGCTCCGGGGCCAGGGGCAACGTGTTCAGCATGAATGGGAATGAGCTGCTGGGTTGGAAGCCACACCGACGCTGCCAGAGGTGAGATTAACTGCTTGCAGTGTCATCCATCAGTGCCCAGCAGTGTCGCCTGTCAGTGCCCAGCAGTGTCACCCATCAGTGCTGCCCATCGGTGCCACCCATCAATGATGCCCAGCAGTGCCATCCATCAGTGCCCAGCAGTGTCGCCTGTCAGTGCTGCCCAGCAGTGCCACATGTCAGTGCCCAGCAGTGCCACCTGTCAGTGCTGCCCAGCAGTGCCACATGTCAGTGCCCAGCAGTATCGCCCATCAGTGCTGCCCATCAGTGCCACCCATCAATGATGCCCAGCAGTGCCATCCATCAGTGCCCAGCAGTGTCGCCTGTCAGTGCTGCCCAGCAGTGCCACCTGTCAGTGCTGCCCAGCAGTGCCACCTGTCAGTGCCCAGCAGTGTCGCCCATCAATGATGCCCAGCAGTGTCCAGCAGTGTCATCCATCAGTGCCCAGCAGTGTCGCCTGTCAGCGCTGCCCAGCAGTGCCACCTGTCAGTGCTGCCCAGCAGTGCCACCTGTCAGTGCCCAGCAGTGTCGCCCATCAGTGCTGCCCATCAGTGCCACCCATCAATGATGCCCAGCAGTGCCACCGATCAGTGCCGTCTGTCAGTGCGTCCAGGTAGGCAAGTGGTTAATTGCAGTGTTGGCACTTTGAAATAAAAAAGTTGGTTTGTGTTGCAGTTTTGGGCACTCGGGCTCAAAAAGGTTCGCCATCACTGCCCTAGAGGGTTCTTAAATCCCCCTTGAAAGAGCCAAGTTGTACAATTTTTGGTTGCTACGGGGCTTTGGTTTGAATGCCATTTGGAATTCAATTTATTGCAGTCTGTACAGGGGTAGGTCTAGTTAAGTTTTGTGGACATCACTGAATAAGAGTGTGGGAATTCCCCTCTTAGACAGTTGTCCCTTGACAGGTGTCCACATTGGGAAATTTCTCCTCACCTCTTGTTCTGTTGAACTGTTCAGAGTCGCATGACAAATTATACCCCATGTTTTCCAATGATTATCATTCTTACATGTGTGACTTAAAGTCCCGACAGCTTCAAAGTAGTTCATGCACTGCTTTGGTCCAACTTTCATGCAACTTGAGCACCATTTTCTTCAGTGTTAACCCTCAGAAGTTGCATGGAAGTCCTACCTGAATGTTTTACATTCAACAGTGATGCAACAGTGGGTCCGACTTTGCAGAGGGACAAGTCACATCTAAGTCTCACCCATCTATAGTAGCATCAAAGTTGCTTTAAAGTTGCAACAACTTTGGAGTCGTCCAGGTGTAAATGGAGTCTGAGGTTACAGATGAACAGACAATATTCGTTTTATATTAATACTATAACCTGCAGTCAGATTCAGTACACACTACACAGTGCTCCTGGGTGGGACTTCCTGTTGCATAATTCTGTGCTGTACAGTCATTTGTTCTAAGAATGTCTGAGGGCGGAGCTTGGAACCCAGGAACACAACTCCAGTTTGGCATCCTTATATTTAGGACCATTCAATGATAAAGATACCAGTTAGAAACCACGGGGCCCCATACAGCCAACCTGACAGGGCCCCCCCCCTCCCAAAAAAACCCACAGTTTACTGTGCTTCAGTTATGAATGAACACAGTGAGTGATCGGTACCGAGTACTCATTGTGTTCATTCAGGAAGGAAAGAGGCTGGTAAAATGTCATATGTTTACAGGGCACTTCCCCCACTCTGCATCCAGAAGGGTCTTATTGTGTGCTTGCAGTTGCGGGTAGGAAGGAGGGGAGGGAAGCCAACAGCACTGCGGGGGTAGGGGGCGCACAGGGGGGAAGCGTATAGTGTACAGAGAGGGTGATCGGCACGGGGTGGGTGCAAATACTGGTACCAATCCCCTGTATGGCTCTCTCTGCAGCTGCTGAAAGCCAGCGGGAGGGAGAGGAGAAGAAGCTGGTTTTCAGGTGCTGCAGGGAGAGCCATACAGGGGATTGGTACCAGTATTTGCACCCACCCCGTGCCGATCACCCTCCTTGCCCACATCTGATAACCCAGCTGCCTGGGCCCCCCTGCTGCCCTGGGCCCTGTACAGGAGGACTGGTGGTACCCCCTTTATACCCAGCCCTGTCAGCAACCACAAAGATGCAGCTAACTGGTCTGGCAGGTGCAGGTGATATACGCCTGGTTTAGTGATGGTATGCTGTGTCCTCCAAACCCATCTAAATGCGATATTTCTACGTTGAATCAGAGAGATCTTCAAGTAGCTCAGCATTATTACCCGTCTGCTCTTCTGTTCCTGTAGTCTCCAGTCCTCTTGTATTTTTGTTATAATAAAGTTACCTTTCACCTCCATTCTTATCTGGCAGGAGTCAAGATGTCCAACAAGGAGAAGTTACAGTACTTAAAAGACTTTCACAAGGACATTCTTAAACCGTCCCCAGGAAAGAGCCCGGGGACCCGGCCAGAGGATGAAGCTGACGGGAAGCCACCCCAGAGGGAGAAGTGGGCCAGCAAGATCGACTTTGTGCTGTCCGTAGCTGGTGGCTTCATCGGCCTTGGGAACGTCTGGCGATTCCCGTACCTCTGCTACAAGAACGGCGGAGGTGAGCGTGTCACTGGTCTTGTGTGTCTTCTACTCCATCCACCATTATGTATTTGCTCTTAAAGAAGAATTCCAAGTATGGAAATATTTACATTGGCCTGACTTGGAGCAATGTAACTATGTAAGTACCACACCTATGGGATCCCTGTAGAAGCTGGAAATCACTGTATGAGGCAACGCTACTCCAGTGATCTCCACTAACGTACGGGTCCTGTGCTGAGTGGCTGCCCTGCTGCATTGTGAACACAGGAGGTTGGCCATTTGTAAATGAAAGGACTGCATAGTCATAGGCAGGGGCGGACTGACAACTCATGGGGCCCCCGGGCAATAGGGGGTCATGGGGCCCCCGTGTCCTTGCCCAAACTCAAAAAAGCCTATGAAAAAGGTACCAGGGGCATCTCATGGGGCCCCCTACTGACCCCGGGCTTTTGGGCTGTGCCCGAGTTTCCAAATGGTCAGTCCACCCCTGGTCATAGGGTCTAAGCCCTGTTGGACGAGGCAAAACGCATCATGGGGCATGGTGTGGTGGAGACATGTAGGCTGAGGCCGCTCCTTACTTTTTGGCTGCATGGGCTGGTCCTTTCATGTACACATGCTTCACCTATCTGGATTGGTATATAGACACGCCAGCACCCCATCTTGTGCTTTGGGCGGTGCCACAGGAAGGTTGGCCGTAGGGCACAGACATTGTTTAGAGATCGCTTTACCTTTTTTTCAAAGCATGTTCTTCATGTGACTTCATGCTCTCCACCTCATCCAATCACTAAATGCTTTACATTTATTTATAAAATGCAAGTGATGTCTGAACAGTGCCTGTACCCAATGACCGGCCATCTGTGCTCATAATGCAGCAGGGCAGCCACTGAGCAAAGAAACATGGAAGCTAGTGGAGATCACTGGAGTAGCGGCATCTACTACAGTGATTATCAGCTTCTGGAGGTATTCCACAGGTATGGTATATACATAGTTACAAACTGGACCAATGTACTTGTATAAAAATTGCCATACCTGGAATTCAGTTTTGTTTATTTATTTCAGGTACTTGTATAGCGCCGTCAATTTACGCAGCGCTTTACATATATATTGTACATTCACATCAGTCCCTAACCCTCAAGGGGCGTACAATCTAAGGTCCCTAACCCTCAAGGGGCGTACAATCTAAGGTCCCTAACCCTCAAGGGGCGTACAATCTAAGGTCCCTAACCCTCAAGGGGCGTACAATCTAAGGTCCCTAACCCTCAAGGGGCGTACAATCTAAGGTCCCTAACTCTCAAGGGGTGTACAATCTAAGGTCCCTAACCTTCAAGGGGTGTACAATCTAAGGTCCCTAACCCTCAAGGGGCGTACAATCTAAGGTCCCTAACTCTCAAGGGGCGTACAATCTAAGGTCCCTAACCCTCAAGGGGCGTACAATCTAAGGTCCCTAACCCTCAAGGGGCGTACAATCTAAGGTCCCTAACCCTCAAGGGGCGTACAGTCTAAGGTCCCTAACTCTCAAGGGGCGTACAATCTAAGGTCCCTAACCCTCAAGGGGCGTACAATCTAAGGTCCCTAACCCTCAAGGGGCGTACAATCTAAGGTCCCTAACCCTCAAGGGGCGTACAGTCTAAGGTCCCTAACCCTCAAGGGGCGTACAATCTAAGGTCCCTAACTGACATTCATACATACACATACTAGGGACAATTTAGACAGCAGCCAATTCACCTACCAGCATGTCTTTGGGCGTGGGAGGAAACTAGAGTACCTAGAGGAAACCCACGCATGCACAGGGAGAACATGCAAACTCCAGGTAGATAGTGCCATGGTTTGGGAAGTGCTAACCACTTAGCCACTGTACTGCCCCAGTTTTAAGCTGCTTAACTGTAGACACCTGTGGAGGTTGGTCTCTGTAGGGTCATAACCACGTGTTAAACCTCTGTATGCCCAAAGTTTGTACATATAGCTCTGTCATTGCCTGCTCTTATGGATGGCCGCCATGTTTCAGATGACGAAAACCCTTTTGTGTTGGGGGAGAGCTGCCACGTTACAAGTGACTGCTGCTCGCTTGTAGCAGCCATTGAGCTGACCATATATACCAGTAGAATATTGTTGGAAAAATCTTTGTTTTGGGAACATTCAATCAATTTCTTGATAGTTAGTGGGATCAACTCGATGTTAGGTTTTAACTGCACTGATGATAAAATTCAAAGATGAAGGATGGACATTTTTTTCGTGAAGGAACTCATTTCCATAACATAAGGTGGAGATGCTCTGTGGTCCAGCAGATGAAGCGTCTTCTCCACTCTATATTAAAAAAAAAAAAAGAAAGAAAAGGAAATTCTCTGGAGTTTGACTTTAAACCATTCCCCTATGGTATATGCCGAATCCTGTAAGGCAAGGTTACTCAGCCAGGGTTCCATGGATCCCTAGGGTTCCTTCAGAGGTTGCTAGGGGTTTCTGGTGCAAAGAGCAAGTTCTGCCTCTCAGATAAGTTCCTACCGGCACCATTGTTTTTTTTTTTTTTTTTCTGCGATCTGTAAGGGGGTAATTCTTCCCAATATCCACAAGTGTAAAAAGCATTCTACTCACTGACCATCGCACTGATGTATCTTAAGTTGTAGATACAGTGAAGGAAACGTGTATTTGTTCCCCGGCTGATGTTGAATGTTCGCCCCTCACACAGAAATGATCGGTCTAACAATGGAATGTTCGGTGTAACACTGAGAGACAGAATACAACAACAAATTCAGCAGAAATGCGTCTAACAAATGATGACTGATCTGCATGTTCATGAGGGAAAGAAGGATTTGATCCCCTTCACAAAACATGACTTAGTACTTGGTGGCAAATCCCTTGTTGGCAATCACAGAGGTCAGACGTTTCCAGGAGTTGGCCCCAGGTTCGCACACATCTCAGGAGGGATTTTGGCCCACTCCTCTTGGCAGATCCTCTCCAAGTCATTAAGGTTTGGTGGCTGACATTTGGCAACTCGAACTTTCAGCTCCCTCCACAGATTAAGGTCTGGAGACTGGAGTTCTGGGATGATTCCTCACTGTTCTCATGATCATGGACAAGATCCTCACGTGTAGTTCTGGGTTGATTCCTCACTGTTCTCATGATCATTGACAAGATCCTCACGTATAGTTCTGGGATGATTCCTCACTGTTCTCATGATCATTGACAAGATCCTCACGTGTAGTTCTGGGATGATTCCTCACTGTTCTCATGATCATTGACACTCCACGAGGTGAGATCTTGCATGGTGCACCAGACCTAGGGAGACTGACACTTGTTTTGGGTTTCTTCCATTTGTGAATGATTGCACCAACTGTTGTCACCTTCTCACCAAGCTGCTTGGCCATAGTTTGGTAGCCCAGTCCAGCCTTGTGTAGGTCTACCATCTTGTCCCTGACATCCTTGGACAGCTCTTTGGTCTTTGCCATGGTGGAGAGTTTGGAATCTGATGGTTTGATTGCTCCTGTGGACAGGTGTCTTTTGTACAGGTAACACAATGAGATTAGCAGCACTCCCTTTAAGAGACTGCTTCTAATCTCAGCTTGTTACCTGTATGAGAGACACCTGGGAGCCAGAAATCCTGCTGAATGCTAGGGGATCAAATCCTTCTTTCCCTCATGAACATGCAGATCAGTCATCATTTGTTAGACGCATTTCTGCTGAATTTGTTGTTGTATTCTGTCTCTCAGTGTTACAATACACCGAACATTCAATCTTTAGACCGATCATTTCTTTGTGAGGGGCGAACATTCAGCATCAGCCGGAGAGCAAATACACATTTCCTTCACTGTATAGTCATTTTTAGCAGGAGGTCCCTGAGACCAAAAAGTGATTTTAAGGGTTCCCCTGTGTTGAAAGGGAGAGAGGCTGCTGTAGGGCATTCAGAGGGAATCGGCAGCCTTTGTCACGTGAGTGCAATCAGCTTAATGTAGATAATCGTATCAAGGTATGTTAATGTGTTCAGGACCTGATCTCCTCTGTAATTCTGTATATATTCCATATTGTGGAGGGGGAACTGGGACAGACGTGACATTCCTGGGGGTGTCAGGAAGGATCACTAATTAGCCGCTCTCATTGCAAAGACTGCAGGTAAACGTGTTAATTGGTTTTATTCGGTAATCTCGGCATCTTCCCACGTTGGATGAATGTCCTGTTTTTTCCCTTTAGATCGGAGCTGCTATCTGAGCCCGAGTTCTTTGCAGCCAAAACCTCTGTAAACATGGAATCAAATAACGTGTTACGTGAACTGTCATCGGGGATTATCTGGGGTTAACATAAGCCGCAGGAATTGTAGTGGAAGGGATTCTTAGCCTTGTGCAAAAAAAAGCAGTTTAAGGGTCAGTTCACCTGCGACTGATGTTTCTGATTTTTTTTTTTTGTAGATGCTGGTAAGTTCAAACCCTTCTTTTTTTGGAGTAGGGGAGAGGGTTAAAACAGCTTCAGTCAAAATATAAATATAAAAAAGATGTAAATGTAAAAAAAGATAGGGAGAGCAGGCTTTGCAGCAATACCCACCCTCAATTGGGAGTTGTCCCCTGCCGTACCTCTTTTCTGCCACTAGATGTCCTCAGATGGCTAACTTAACACAACCCACATACTCTGAGCTCAGGCTGTCATGGACCCGCCCCCGGCCTGTGATTGGAGTGAAAGGAAAAGCAGCACAGTGATGAGCTCAACCTTCTATCACTCTGCTCTCTCCTCCTTTTGGCATGCCTTTTGTCAGAACAGTGGCTTTCTATGCTGCTTCTTCCTCTCCCACTCTGAGCTCTGCTGTACAGGGACTGCAAGAGATGTATTATTATTATTCAGGATTTATATACCCACAGGGAAGAACAATATATTTGAAAATATATTCTTCCCAAATATATTGACATATTTTTAAAATATATTTGAAATGCTTCATTTTTGGCCATATTCAATATATTTCAAAGCATTAGAGTTCACCTTTAAGACTCCAGTAATTTTTAGTTTTTTGGCTGTTTGGGAGATTTTCCTTCACTTCCTGTTCTAAAGACTGAGCAGGTCTAGTTAATTTTCTCACAGTGTGAGGAATGCCCAGCTTACAGCTGCCACTGAAACAGGTTTACCCATTGAAAGATTTCCCCGCACCTCCTGTTATGACAGTGACTCTAAAATGTTAGATTTTTACCACCCCTTCTGTTTTGGAGACGACGGTCATCAGGATGAATCGAGAGGGTGAATTTTCCCAACATGGATGCAGACAGCAATACAAATCTCCATGGTTTCGGAATGGGATGCACTGTAGATCAATTAAAAACTCAGCGACCGAGTGGGGCCAACCCATAATGACCAAAACAGGTGTGCCGGCTTCCCCAGACTACTTATTTTCTTTATGAATTGGCCCCACTTGGCCATCTGAGTTTTTAATTGATATACATTCCATCCCTTATCTCACGACTCGACTAATGCAACTCCCTCCTCACCGGCCTACCTCATCGCAGACTATCCCCGCTTCAGTCTATCCTGAACTCAGCGACCAGACTCATCCACCTTACCAACCGCTCCGTATCCACCACCCCCCTCTGCCAATCCCTCCACTGACTCCACCCCCCTCTGTCATTCCCTCCACTGACTCCACCCCCCTCTGTCATTCCCTCCACTGGCTCCCGATTGCCCAACGCATTAAATTCAAACTACTAACACTGACGTACAAAGCCATTCATAAAGCTGCCCCAAACTACCTCACCGACCTGATACCCAAATACCACCCAACCCGTAATCTTCGCTCTTCACAAGACCTCCTACTTTCTAGCTCCCTGGTCTCCACCTCCCACGCCCGATTGCAGGACTTCCCCCGGACTTCCCCCATCCTCTGGAACTCTCTACCCCAATCCATCAGACTGTCACTTTCCCTCCTCACGTTCAGGCGCACCCTGAAAACCCATCTCTTCAGGTAGGCAGGGAAGCCTACCCCACCCTCACCTAATTGCTGATCTACACTCTACACTCCTCCTACTACTCCATCCCCCACAGCCATTTCCTCCCGTACCACTATCCCCTCCCTCCTAGACTGTAAGCTCCAAGGAGCAGGGCCCTCAAACCCCTCGTGTTTTGTCTTGTTACTGTATTGTCATGTTCTGTCCCCCACTATAATGTACAACGCTGAGCAAACCTTTTGGCGCTATATAAATACTGTATAATAATAATTATCCCATTCCTATGGTTATTGACATGTAATTTGGGCTATAATAACCCCCACTTTTCTGGGAAGGCTTTCTACAAGATTTTTTTATAGGAATTTTTGCCCATTCAGCCAAGAGAGCGTTTGTGTGGTCAGTATATTGTTCATGTTTCAACCAATGGTGTGCTGGTGATTGCTACCATTTCTGCAATTAGAGCAAGTCCCCATCCATTGTAAACCATTGCAGCACTCACATGGAAGGTCAAGAAGCTGTTTGGAGTGTACCATACTCTCTTCAAAACAGGTACTGATGTTGGATGAGTAGATCTGGTTCTCAGTTGGCATTCTAATTTATCATAAGGTGCTCAGTAGGGCTGAGGTCAGGGCTGTGTGCAGGGCATTCACGTTCCTTCACACCAAAGTGGTCAATGTCTTTATAGAGATGTTGAATGAGAAGACCTGACTCATTCCAAGTCATCTCAAAGGCGTTCACTAGGGTTGAGGTCAGGGCTGTGTGCAGGGCATTCACGTTCCTTCACACCAAATGAGTCAATGTCTTTATAGAGATGTTGAATGAGAAGACCTGACTCATTCCAAGTCATCTCAAAGGCGTTCACTAGGGTTAAGGTCAGGGCTTTGTGCGGGGCATTCACGTTCCTTCACACCAAATGGGTCAATGTCTTTATAGAGATGTTGAATGAGAGGACCTGACTCATTCCAATTCATCTCAAAGGCGTTCACTAGGGTTGAGGTCAGGGCTGTGTGCGGGGCATTCACGTTCCTTCACACCAAATGAGTCAATGTCTTTATAGAGATGTTGAATGAGAAGACCTGACTCATTCCAATTCATCTCAAAGGCGTTCACTAGGGTTAAGGTCAGGGCTTTGTGCGGGGCATTCACGTTCCTTCACACCAAATGGGTCAATGTCTTTATAGAGATGTTGAATGAGAAGACCTGACTCATTCCAAGTCATCTCAAAGGCGTTCACTAGGGTTAAGGTCAGGGCTTTGTGCGGGGCATTCACGTTCCTTCACACCAAATGGGTCAATGTCTTTATAGAGATGTTGAATGAGAAGACCTGACTCATTCCAATTCATCTCAAAGGCGTTCACTAGGGTTGAGGTCAGGGCTGTGTGCGGGGCATTCACGTTCCTTCACACCAAATGAGTCAATGTCTTTATAAAGATATTGAATGAGAAGACCTGACTCATTCCAAGTCATCTCAAAGGCGTTCACTAGGGTTGAGGTCAGGGCTGTGTGCAGGGCATTCACGTTCCTTCACACCAAATGGGTCAATGTCTTTATAGAGATGTTGAATGAGAAGACCTGACTCATTCCAATTCATCTCAAAGGCGTTCACTAGGGTTGAGGTCAGGGCTGTGTGCGGGGCATTCACGTTCCTTCACACCAAATGGGTCAATGTCTTTATAGAGATGTTGAATGAGAAGACCTGACTCATTCCAATTCATCTCAAAGGCGTTGACTAGGGTTGAGGTCAGGGCTCTGTGCAGGACACTTGAGTTCCTCCACATCAAATGGGTCACACCATGTCTTTATTGAGCGGGCTTTGTACACAGGGACACAGTCATGCTGGAACAGAAAACTTCCCCAAAATGTTATCACAAGGTTGGAGCCGCATGTAGCATGTGTGATGGTCAGATGTTCAGATACTTTTGGAAATATAATGTACACTCCCAGCCACTTTATTAGGTATACCTGTCCAATTGCATAGTAACACAAATTGCTAATCAGCCAATCACATGGCAGCAACTCAATGCATTTAGGCATCTAGACGTGGTGAAGACGACTTGCTGAAGTTCAAAATGAGCATCAGAATGGGGAAGAAAGGGGATTTAAGTGACTTTGAACGTAGAATGGTTGTTGGTGCCAGACGGGCTGGTCTGAGTATTTCAAAAATTGCTTATCTACTGGGATTTATGGGTTTACAGGGAATGGTCCAAAAAAGATAGAATACCCAGTGAGTGGCAGTTGTGTGGAAAATGCCTTGTTGATGTCAGAGGAGAATGGGCAGACTGGTTCCAGATGATAGAAAGGCAACATTAACTTATGTCATTATGGACCAAAACCTCTGAGGAATGTTTCCAACACCTTGTTGAATCTATGCCACGAAGAATGAAGGCAGTTCTGAAGGAAAAAGTGGGTCCAAACCGGTACTAGCAAGGTGGACCTAATAAAGTGGCTGGGGAGTGTGTATTGTGAGGAACACTGCTGATATAGTAGTACATGAAGCTGCAACACCTCTGCAGTAGTAGATGGCTTGGGAACACCTTAAGGTTGGCAGAAACAAATCCATGAAATATAGCTAGACGTCCTCACTGGTGGAGTTCTTAAGAGATGCAAAATCCATCATGTGAGGTCACCAGACTCTACCTTTGTTTGAAATACTTGTGTTGGTTGGGCTGACCCCTTTGGGCATACTTGCACTAGGTGACCCATACAGGGCCTGAGCATGTTTGAACCTTGAAGTCCAGTTTGTTTGACTAATGCAATCACACCATACCATGCTTGGGCACTTGGAGAGGAGGGCTTGGGTGCGGTTGGGTTATACTCGGTATGTATTTGTTTTTTTCTAACCGTCCCTGAGCATGGAGTTCTCATGGATCACTGGATACTCACAGAGCACAAAGAAGGGGATCACTGGCTTGGCAATTTGAGCTGAAGCCAGCGGGTGTAGTAGGGAGAGGCGGCCATTAGACTTGAACATGGTACAGGGCAGCCATGCCTGGAGTGAGTACGTTCTCAATGTGATCTGCTGATAAGGATCTAAAGAACTCACAATTAATGATCTTCTTCTTTTCCTCACCAGGTGCTTTTCTCATCCCATATTTCATCTTTCTGTTTGGGGGCGGTTTACCTGTGTTCTTCCTGGAGGTGGTTTTGGGGCAGTTCACATCTGAAGGTGGTATCACCTGCTGGGAGAAGATCTGCCCCATCTTTACCGGTAAGGACCCTATGGCATGGAGTGTTATGACGAGTAAATAGATACCTAACATGTCATGCTTCAAAATTGCACATGCCCATGGAATGGCCACAAGGTATGGTACATTAAATTATCAATAGACGACACTTTAAAAGCCTCTACAGGTTACCGCTTCAGAGTTAAAGTGGTTGTAAAGGCTGATGGTTTTTTACATTTATGCATTGTAGTCCCATGGCGATCCAGCCAATCAAAGCCAGTGAGCCAATGAGGAGAGAGAGAGGGGCGGGGACGAGCTGCAGCACTGTGTGTGAATGGACATAGAGAGCAGTGGCTCAAGAGCGAGCCTGCTTGGGTGTGCGGAAGGGAGGGGCCAGGAGCGCCAATGGGGGACCCGAGAAGAGCAGGATTGGGGCTGCTCTGTACAAAATCATTGCACCCAGCAGGTAAGCATGACATGTTTATTACCCGCACTTCCAAATTCCAACCTATAGAATTACCGCTTACATAACCTTACAAGGCACAAGCTGTCACAACTCCGCCCCGTTTGCGTCACGTAGGTTGGAATTTGGAAGCGCGGGTAGTATGCTGTGGGAATGACAGAAAGAGACAGAAGGTTTCTTAAGTAAATACAGGGAGGATTATCCTGTACCAGGATCATATCCAACTCGTAAAGGGGACCTCTACTGATTTATTCAATGCGTATATACTTTACGCATCTGGTGAGTGCGTAATTTTACCACACTGTTTTGGAGCACTGATACTGGATTTTATTGTCATTTTGCACCTAGTCCTGCACAGACTGTCGCTTTTTGATTGCTTTATTTAGCTTTTATATACATTTGTGAACATTTATATATATATATATATATATATATATATATACAGTCAGGTCCATAAATATTGGGACATCGACACAATTCTGACATTTTTGGCTCTATACACCACCACAAGGGATTTGAAAAGAAACGCACAAGATGTGCTTTAACTGCAGACTGTCAGCTTTAATTTGAGAGTATTTACATCCACATCAGATTAACGGTGTAGGAATTACAACAGTTTGCATATGTGCCTCCCACTTGTTAAGGGACCAAAAGTAATGGGACAGAATAATAATCATAAATCAAACTTTCACTTTTTAATACTTGGTTGCAAATCCTTTGCAGTCAATTACGGCCTGAAGTCTGGAATGCATAGACATCACCAGACCCTGGGTTTCATCCCTGGTGATGCTCTGCCAGGCCTTTACTGCAACTGTCTTCAGTTCCTGCTTGTTCTTGGGGCATTTTCCCTTCAGTTTTGTCTTCAGCAAGTGAAATGCTCCATCGGATTCAGGTCAGGTGATGGACTTGGCCATTGCATAACATTCCACTTCTTTCCCTTAAAAAACTCTTTGGTGGCTTTTGCAGTCTGCTTTGGGTCATTGTCCATCTGCACTGTGAAGCGTTCAATGAGTTGTGAAGCATTTGGCTGAATATGAGCCGATAATATTCCCGAAACACTTCACAATTCATCCGGCTGCTTCTGTCAGCAGTCACATCATCAATAAATACAAGAGAAGCAGTTCCATTGGCAGCCATACATGCCCACGCCATGACACTACCACCACCATGATCACTGATGAGGTGGTATGCTGAGGATCATGAGCAGTTCCTTCTCCATACTCTTCTCTTCCCATCACTCTGGTACAAGTTGATGTCGGTCTCCTCTGTCCATAGGATGTTGTTCCAGAACTGTGAAGGCTTTTTTAGATGTCGTTTGGCAAACTCTAATCTGGCCTTCCTGTTTTTGAGGCTCACCAATGGTTTCCATCTTGTGGTGAACCCTCTGTATTCACTCTGGTGAAGTCTTCTCTTGATTGGTGACTTTGACACACATACACCTACCTCCTGGAGAGTGTTCTTGATCCGGCCAACTGTTGTGAAGGGTGTTTTCTTCACCAGGGAAAGAATTCTTCGGTCATCCACCACAGTTGTTTTCCGTGGTCTTCCGGGTCTTTTGGTGTTGCTGAGCTCACCGGTGCGTTCCTTCTTTTTAAGAATGTTCCAAACAGTTGTTTTGGCCACGCCTAATGTTTTTGCTATCTCTCTGATGGGTTTGTTTTGTTTTTTCAGCCTAATGATGGCTTCACTGATAGTGACAGCTCTTTGGATCTCGTCTTGAGAGTTGACAGCAACAGATTCCAAATGCAAATCGCACACTTGAAATGAACTCTGGACCTTTTATCTGCTCATTGTAATTGGGATAATGAGGGAATAACACATATCTGGCCATGGAACAGCTGAGAAGACAATTGTCCCATTACTTTTGGTCCCTTAACAAGTGGGAGGCACATATGCAAACTGTTGTAATTCCTACACCATTCACCTGATTTGGATGTAAATACCCTCAAATTAAAGCTGACAGTCTGTAGTTAAAGCACATCTTGTTCCTTTCATTTCAAATCCATTGTGGTGGTGTATAGAGCCAAAAATGTTAGAATTGTGTCGATGTCCCAATATTTATGGACCTGACTGTATATATATATATATATATATATATATATATATATATATATATATACTCATTATTTTAGCGCTGCACAGATTTATCTATTTCTAGTTTTTGATGAGGTTTTTGTACCTTTTGTGCCCTAGCTGCTAACCAGGGAGCGCTCACTTTTTTACTTTATTCTTACTAAGACTTAACGGTGGACTGCTAAAACTTTTTTGCCCAAGGAGACTGCATTTTGTTGAACTTGTCCACTTTGTCTTCCTGAAGGGCAGATCGTTTTTCCAAAACTATCTCTTCATACAACTGTTTTTAAGCTCCGTAAAGGGTATGGTTGGTTTCCTGCTTTTACAATGGTTCCTTTGGCATCAGTGAAAATATGGACTACCAAATTCGATTGGTTCTTGCTGTACTTGGGAGATGGTTTCGAGAGGAGAGCTTCTATAGAATTGTGGGGGTAGCGTTTCACATGGGGGGAGCCATATATTTTCTCATATATGCAGGCTGTACTTTGTTCTGCACAATGGATGTGCCTTGCTTATCCGGCAGCTCTACCAGATAAAAAATGCCTGAAAAGCAGACTTTCTACAGCAGTGTTGGTCAATTTTCTTGATTATAGGAGGCTTCAAGGGCGGCCCCCGACATCACCGAACGGCCGCACATAAAATTCAGTGAATAATTATTATCAAACAGTGATAATTTCGCAGAGGAAAATATTTTAGTTTACTAAAATATAACTGAAACTAAAACAATTCAGATGACTGAAATACGACTAAAACTAAAATGGCACTTTTTAAAAAAATACTACGACTAAAACTAAATGGAAATTTGACGTCAAAATTAACACTGTTATCAGAGACAGCAGACACACAGCAGGATATAGGCAAAGAATATGGGCATGATACAAAAGATTTAGAGAGAGTTAGAGACTGTGGACAGCATATAAGAGATGGTCACAGACTGCAAACATAATACAAGAGGTGGTCAGAGACTGCGGACATGGTACAGTAGATGTTCAGACACTGCGGACATGGTACAGGAGATGTTCAGAGACTGCGGACATGGTACAGGAGATGTTCAGAGACTGCGGACATGGTACAGTAGATGGTCAGAGACTGCAGACATGATACAAGAGATGGTTAGAGACTGCAGACATGATACAAGAGATGGTTAGAGACTGCAGACATGATACACGAGATGGTCAGAGACTGCGGACATGGTACAGTAGATGGTCAGAGACTGCGGACATGATGCAAGATATGGTCAGAGGCTGCGGACATGATACAAGAGATGGTCAGAGGCTGCGGACATGATACAAGAGATGGTCAGAGACTGCTGACATGGTACAGTAGATGGTCAGAGACTGTGGACATGGTACAGTAGATGGTCAGAGACTACAGACATGGTACAGTAGATGGTCAGAGACTGCGGACATGGTACAGTAGATGGTCAGAGACTACAGACATGGTACAGTAGATGGTCAGAGACTGCGGACATGGTACAGTACATGGTCAGAGACTGCGGACATGGTACAGTAGATGGTTAGAGACTGCAGACATGATACACGAGATGGTCAGAGACTGCAGACATGATACACGAGATGGTCAGAGACTGCGGACATGGTACAGTAGATGGTCAGAGACTGCAGACATGATGCAAGATATGGTCAGAGGCTGCGGACATGATACAAGAGATGATCAGAGACTGCAGACATGATACAGTAGATGGTCAGAGACTGCAGACATGATACAGGAGATGGCCAAAGACTGCAGACATGATACAAGAGATGGTCAGAGATTGCAGACATGATACAAGAGATGGTCAGAGACTGCTGACATGGTACAGTAGATGGTCAGAGACTGCAGACATGATACAAGAGATGGTCAGAGACTGCTGACATGGTACAGTAGATGGTCAGAGACTGCTGACATGGTACAGTAGATGGTCAGAGATTGTGGACATGGTGCAGTAGATGGTCAGAGACTGTGGACATGATACAAAAGATGGTCAGAGACTGTGGACATGGTACAGTAGATGGTCAGCGACTGCGGACATGATACAAGAGATGGTAAGAGATTGTGGACATGCTATAGGAATTGTTGGAGACTGAAGACATATTACATGAGGCTGCTAGAAGTCATAATGTATACAGGGCCATAGGGATCCACAGATTAGTGTCTTCTTAAGCAATGTGGAACTGTTGATTTCCTGTAAAGTAAGGATTTCAAGAACAGGTCCAAAAAAGTGGGCATTTCTACTTTAGGCTTGATCAGCCTGCTCTGAGAACACCATTTCATGTCCTGCCGAATCCTTGAGGTCAGAATTTGGAACTTTTTCCGTCTGTACTTTCCAGATGGTGCCAGTTAAAAAACTAATCAAGGGCAAGAAAAGTGTGTCAGGCAGACAGATGGAGAGCACACGATGGCTTATTGCCACTGCAGTGCGGGTGAGGACAGCGGCGTAGAGGTCAGCGGGCGCTGTACAGAGAGCAACGGACAGAAGTCCAACTACCTGGAGCGATCTATCGGCCGTCA